GATATTGATATTGATATTGATATTGATATTGATATTGATATTGATATTGATATTAATATTAACGTATATTAACATATAATCTCTTGCACTTTTAATTCCTAGTTTCTTAAATGACAATAAAATCAAGCAAATCTCAGAAGGTGCATTTCGAGGGCTTCGTTCTCTAGATCGAATGTAAGCACCTGGCCACTTGTTATGTTTATATTTTTTCATCATTATTATTACCATTGTCGTTGTTGGAGTCAAATATTTTATCTGTGAAACAGTACTACGTAACTAACACTATTTGATTAAGGAATACAAAACGCGCTTGTGTGTCTCTGTACTGTGACATAAATACTATTGRAGCTGTAGAGCAAAGGAGGAACAAGCTTAGGAAGGAACGCAAGGCGTAGCCGAGTGTTTCTCTTCCTTATAAAGTGCTTTACAGCTACCAGAGTGGTTTATATCACATACGAAAACATAGGCAGACGTTTTATATTGCTTTAAGATATTTGAGCGATTTTGCACGAGCGTGTCTATGTCCTCTGACATAAAATCCCTAAATAAAGCACCACAATAAAAAAATAGCGCCTTTCAATCACGTGACACGGCAGCCATTTTGGTGTACCAAACAATAGAAACTCTCTGCATAGCTTTTGCACAAAAATTTCAATTTCCATTCAAAAGTTCAATTTCCCGTGGATAGAAAATATATAGTTTTTTGTACACCAACATGCATGGTGTTAGATTTGCATTGATTGACATGTAATTATATATGAAATCAACTCCAAAACGTCACGTGATTGATATTATCCCCCAAGTTCAGTTCTCTTCGCTGATTTTGTTCTTCCTTATATTATTCGTTGTTTTTATTACCTTTACGTACAAGGATTACCTTGTTAGTGTCTAATGTAACACAAAAAGTCCAGTAATGTATAGTTTATCCCTTTTTTCCTTTTTTATATATCTTTAACCCTCGATAAATTGATGTATTGTATTTTTAAGGTATCTACAAGATAACAAGATCAAGCAAATACAAGATTACGTGTTTCAAAATCTACATGAGCTTAAAGTTCTGTAAGTATTGTTCAAGGATAAAAATAAGACTCAACGCAACAACACAAAAAGAATAATATTTATAAAAGCCGGTTATGTTGAAATATATTATTTATGAATATAAACGATATTGATATTGATATTGACAATGATATTGATATTGACAATGATATTGATATTGATATTGATATTGA